CCTCATCCTCTATCAATTAACTTGATTGATGCTGCTCCCTCCGTTGTTGTTGGGTGCCGCCAATTAATGTTATCCCGTCAAAATTGTTTGTTCTTTCTCTCAAACCATATATAAATTCATGTTTTTTTTTTTTCTCACTTTTGATTCATATTCTTATACTACATGTAGATTGATTAATTATGAGTGAATAATCAATGAGTTGATGGAATGAGATTTCCAAAATTTTGAATTGAAATCCTACAAGCTTCAACGTTGTGGTAATTAATTCATCGCTCTTCACTTGATCAATTTAACTCATCTTACACATCTGAGGAGTGTGAGGACAAGCAGAATTTTGCTTCAACATGGAAATGAACCGCTGCACTTCTTGCTTTTTGAAATTTTATTTGATATTCCAAGGATGGCATGGCAGGAGGAGAGGAAGGAAAGCAGCAGTGTTTGCCAAGCCAAAGACAATTCTGGTATGCTTACTAGAATTTTCTATGGGTTTAACATTTAAGGATTTTAGTTCTGCATTTTAGTATTAATCTTACCCACTTGGAAATTTGGATCGTGCAGCCTGTTCTTCAAGGGGCTCGGTTTCATTTAGTTAAGATTTGGGAGGATATTCAATGTCATTTCTTAATTGCTCTGCTAATTCTTTGAAAACCAACCAATTCATGGGATTGACGTGGATGATGTTCAAGGTCCCTCTGTAAGGACATGTCACCTGATTTGAGCTAAATTGGCATAAGTTTGTCTGCATTTCCTACAAGGTATATTTTAGTACAATTGATTCTAAGCTTAGATCATCAATAAAAAAATTATGATCTTAAAATTCACTCTAAATGCATTTGCTTTTTCTGTACTGCTACTTTTGATTTTCATCTCCTAAGATGGCTGCTTAATTATTGCTATTTTCATCTCCGTTGCTAAGATGGCTGTTTAATTATTGCTCAGGTTGTTTCAGCAGTGCGTGAGTTTGATTCCAATATGTTGTCCATTGTTTGTGCATACCTGTCTTTTTTTCAAATTATCACAACCCTTGGTCTTTCAAAAGAGGGATCCCAATGTAGGTATGCCACCATAAAAAATTAAGTTTATTTGATTCTTGTTGGTTAACCACCTTTTAAAAGTTTTTGATGTGTTCTCCTGAAGTGGAGGTTGCATAAAAATATACAATACTCGAAATGCATTTTATGGTTGCAGCTTTGCAGGCACCAACCAAACTATTTTGCGTCTTGTATTCAAGCTGCTGAAGAACTTGAGGTTTCAATCGTAAAAAAAGAATCTGAGGTTGTTCGAGATTCTCTAGTGTGGACTTTGTATTCAAGCCTTTGTTTCATTTATGACATTGCTTTTCTACACTTCTGCTTGTAGATTTTAATACCGTGTCTGTACTCATGTACAATCATTTGTTTTTGCAGATTTTCTTTGTGCCGTCTGGTTGCTGGTTTGGTTCCCATAATCATATGGTACGTCACAAGAAAGAAATGACTAAATTATTAGTTATGAGATTCATGAAATAGAGTGATGGCAATTAAGAGATTACGTGTTTGATTTTGGGTTTGTGGTGTTTCTTTTAAGAAAGTTAAAATCTGCTCAGGAGAATGGGTGACTAATGATTTCACCTCGGCTATGCAGGTATCTTTTTAACTCGTTTTACATATAAACGGGTGGATGGCAACAATTAGGGTGCTACTAAAATTGCAAACAGTGGCATCTTTGTTCGATGTTATGCTACCGACTCACACAAGCCACAAGTAGAAAGGATTACAAGGTCGCAAATCACTTCTTGTCATGTCCTTTTCCAATCGTAGTCATGAACACCTGTCTCCTATTGTCTTGTCCAGAACAGATAGAAGTACTTGTGTTTTGGATATTGATTCATAGTTAGCATGAAATGAAGGTGTTAATTTTCATGCTTTCTAATAGACAAATCCAATAAATTTTTGTTGCAACTTGTATTATAATTCACCTTTGGCAACACGAGACAAATGATACTCTAGGCCATACTCAAAGTCAGATAGATTTTGTTGTAAACAACATTGAAGCTACTTCTATGCTTCTTTATATCTTGAGAATTGCTCAAAAGAACCTTCAGTTATGTGTCCATAACCAGAGTTTGCCACCAAGGATAATAAGAAACTTCATTCCATAGAAAGTCTCGCATCTCATGTTGTAGTTATGCTTAACATCTTGCTTGTATTCTAGTGATTGCTCGTCGCTGATCCCCATACAATATACCACACATATGATTGTTTTCTAATGAAGTATTGTTGCAAAGAAAAGTAAAAGACCTGCCCAAGGGGCTCATTTCCAACAGTCAATTATATAGCACATAGCTCCAAAATTTTTTTGAAAAATATTATGCATATCAGATTATTTTTCCAATGAAGATTGAATCAACATATATCAATTCCAGATAAAGATGGATCTCAGTAATCGCGACATCATCATAAAAAAAAAAGCCTTCCAACTTCAACTGTATTGTTTGAGGGACCTCCCGTGCAAGCTTATCCATGAATTGGAATTTCTTGTCAAATCCCCAACCAGGGTTGCTCTGCATTGTAATGTTAACAGCAGATAGTAAACATT